CCAGGTGAGGCCGGACCAAAGCAGAATAGAGTGGCACTATGACTTCTTGATCACAAGAAAGATGCCATGAATAACTTCCACTTACACAAAGTCTCTCAATATCCTAATATTTTAAAGGGTCACCTATCTGCTTGTTCACCTGCAACCCCCTCAACTTATTCTCACAAATAATAGTTTCTAGTATATCAAATGGTGGCTTTGCTTTACCACAGGGATGGGAAAACTGCAGTCCACAGACCACATGTGGCCCCCAAATACCCCAAGCAGCTGTACTCCAGTGGAAAATGCCTCAGATCAGTAAAGCACTAAAAAAAATTTTAAAAAAATCCCTGCCCTAAAAAAAATGGCTTCAAAGAGCAGACAATAGAAAACAAGTTACTTCCAGTTTTCTTTTGTGGTGCTTTGGGGATTGCGAGTGATATGACCTGCTATGGGGATAAATATTGACTCATGTCCCCCCTGCAATTTGCTACCCCTGCAATAGTGGAAAGCATATCGCCTTGTATAAATTGGGGTCTATGATTTTCATCAGTCTTCTGTAACTACTGTAGACATGTAGTCTACATGTTTTAGAGTTTTCACCCAAGTCTTTCATCCAGTGTCACCCAGCTATGAAGGGGCTTAAATGAACTAGAAGCAAAATTTAATGCAGGACTCCAATGTGTCCCTAGATATCACCAGGTGTGGTAACTCATGGGACCTTATCCCACGCTGCTCTCAAAAGTGGCAAGAAACCGATATGAGCATCATTGCAGTACTATAGCGCTAGTATAATATGGCGCTAGCGCTATAATAGCGCTATGGATAAGGTAGCGATATTGTAATGCCCGATGAAAACAGGCATACAAAAGAACCCGAATGATGCTGCATTCCGAGCGGTTTCTTGTTGTATTCTGAGCGACGTCGTGGGATCACCCGGAAAACTATAGCGCTATAGCGCCTGGTTCTTAGCGGATTCCGAGCGACGTCGTGGGATCACCCGGAAAGCTATAGCGCTATAGCGCCTGATTCTTAGCGGATTCTGAGCGACGTCGTGGGATCACCCGGAAAGCTATAGCGCTATAGCGCCTGATTCCATGTGGATTCTTGCTGCTTTTGGCCCCGTGGGATAAGGTCCATGGTGTCACCCCCCCATTGATTTTTTTTTTCCCATACTATACTATATAGAATTCTTAGTAATATCTTCTGTGTTAATGTTACTCATTAATTGTAATTCTTGTATATTACTGAATGTAATGCTAATAGTTGTGCCATAAACAACTAGCAAAATTAAAATTATACGTTTAAATTACAATATAATATGCAAAGCCTAAATGCATTTACATATACATAATTGCATGTGGTCGAAGTGAAAATTTAGTAAAAGGTGATGTTTTTAAAGAAAATTGAAAAAGAATAAAAATATTTTTAATTTTTAATTTTTTAATTAATTAATTAATTAATTAACTGATGGCCTGTTCAGGCTCTGGTGCTACTACTGGCCAAGTAGGCACACTAGACCCTGAATGAAAGGCACCACATATCCCAGCACTGGCTGCTGATGGGGAGCAGTGCTCCAGCTTCCAGATGATCAGTTCAAGAACTGGAGCAGCTGCTGGGCTAGTGAGAAAAGGAGGCTATACCCTTTCTAACTCACCCACAGTCAAGCCAGTAATTTGAATTGACATCCTCACATATATATGTCTGTGCCTGGCCTCCACTCCACCAAATGCATTTGAGGAAGTAGATTGAAATCTATGAAAGTTCATGCTGCCAATTTCTTTCTTTCAGTGAGTCTCAAAAGTGCTACAAGATCTCTCTACATACTGATTCTACAGACTAACACGGCTATATCTTTGAGTTCTACCAGTCACACCAGTGTCACCCAGTGCAGTACACACACCCCACACCTGCTAGTGATGTCCGAGAGTGCCTCATTCTACTGCAGCCCTTCACGGGTCAGAAGATCATGGCCATTTCCCCTGATGTTATGGGGTTTCCAGATGAAGCTTCAGGTGGAGCTTTTCCACATTACCCTTTTTCTAGGAGCCAGGCTTTACTCTTTCTCCTTCTTCTTGAATGCAATCAGATCCTGTGGTTTTTGTTTTGTTTTAAATGCTGAATTCCTGTTAGTGAAATAGGACTGCATTAAGTGTGGCTTATATAAATGTTTTGGGGTTTGTTGGTTTTTTATAGGACAGAGATGGCTATTCGCTATGCCTTTGCACTCCATCCAAAACATCCCAACAGGAAACTCAAACCCCAGAACAGGTGGCTGTTACTGAGGCTTATTGGTGAGGAGGGAATGAAGAGTGGAGGCAATTCAGACAATGAAGATGCAGATGGTCTAGGCTCCAAGGGGAAAGAAAAGGTGCATTTAATTTGTGAGTGCACCCTTCTTTCTTTCACCCTTTGAATTCAGACCAGTTGCTTTTTATCTAAATTGCCTTTTTCTCCTGGGGCTTGACAGCTGCTGGAGCTGGGGTGATGACAGAATGGTGCAGGTGCAAGTGGAGGCGCAAGTGGAGCATTGCTGTTGTTGTTTCTCTTCAAGTCATTTCTAATTTATGGCAACTCGAAAGCAAACCTATCATGGGTTTTTCATGGCAAGTTTCTTCAGACGGGGTTTGCCATTGCCATCCTTGGAGGCTGAGAGGGTATGACTTGCCCAAGATCACCCAGTGGGTTCTGATGGCCAAGCAGGGAATTGAACCCTGGTTTCTAAAGTTGCAGTTCAATATTCAAACCACTGCACCACACTGTCATTACACTTGGCCTATTCTATGAAGGCTCACAATGAAAAGGAAACTCTGTGAACAGGAAAGGGAATCATTGTTTTCATTCACAAGAGACTGTTAGTACACATTTCTCTCCCAACAACAGCCAAAAGTAATGGAGTTTGGGGAGATCGTAGGACTCTTGAAATTTTGGCACATGGGATGGAGGCCCACCTCTTCTCCCACCTATGCACTAAGGCAACTATTTTTTTACTAAATGTACCATAAATCTCCAGTGTTCCTTTATCCAAAAGAATGATGACCATGAAATAGAGCAGCCTGGAATTCCAGCATGGAAAGTAAAAGTAGTCTCCTTGAAGTGCTTCCTCAATGTCATTTCCCAACCAAGCTATTCATTCACTGAGAGCAATGAAACCAGGTTGCTTCTCAAAGCCACCTTTTTATAATGTCTCAGGTCAGTGAGTCTGCCATCAAATATTCAGAATGGGTGGAAGGCATGCATTAAAAAAATGGGATGCTACATTCATATTAAAATAGCGTAATCATTAAACTATTTCCTTAAGAATAATAAAATATCATATCATTACTAAGTAATAAAATGTAATAAAAGTTTGGTCTTAGGAAGATTTAAAAGGGTATCATAGTTTTTAATGTTGTAATAACTTTCATAATTAAAATTATAGGATCACATGTGGTAATTAAAGTACAATTTTCCCACTAAGCAAAGACCAAAGGCCTGGTCTGCACTGTTAGGATGCCATCCTAGGCATGCTTACTAGGAAGTTACATTGGACTCAGTGGGACTTACTTCCAAGCATTCAAAACATTGCACTGCTCCTAGACCACCACAACCAATTATACAAAAGACATTCTGGCATATATGTCTCCCCTCCATCATACATTTAAAAAACCAGCTGTGAAGAAAATGAGTTTCTGGAAGACACTCTCAACATTCTGCTCTCCACCGTTCACTATTATTATTTTTTTGGCTCAGGGATTCTGAGAGCAGTAGTCCAAAATGGTAAACCTCCTTAGCTTTATCTCAAAGGATATGAGGCACTCTATATAGAACTACCTATACCTGATGGGACAAACTCCAATTAAAACTTTTTTGAGTAATATGAATCACATTAATCCAGCACTATAGAAAGGAATGGCTATATTCCTTGTGGGCTGACAGTGCCATTACAAAGGTTAGTTACTACATGGTGCTAGAGTTAAATATAGGTAGCTAGAGTCAGGAGCTTCCTCTTGATGTTCTGTTTTATTTGAGAGAGACAATAAAGTTCTTGACTAGTTTCTATGCTTTCCATGATGCTATGTAAATATGACCAAGATCCTACACTGAAGTTGTGTAGAGTAACTCTCTACATGTTATGTAATTGAGCTACTCATCCCTTTTGTTGAATGGCAACATCCTGCAATTGAACCAAAGCACCAAATATTCAACCAGACACACAACAAAATGTGCATGCACATGCAAGCATAATATGTATCCATGTGCAATGCTCACCTGCACACAATGGCATCATCTGCATAACTCCAGTTCTGCAACCTGGAACTGAAAGTGCCCATTCCACTTTGGAAAAAAATATTCAACTACTTCCATAGGAGAATGTACACATGCATAAGATACCAACAAGAATCTGACTGTTCTGTTCATACTAAAGAACAGAGCCGTGTGTCCATTCAACCATCATGTGTTAAATTCAGACTTCTTCCTCCATCATCTGGGTAGGAAAAAGGGGGGAAATTGGGATGGTCCTGTATTAAGACTTGGGATTCTTCATAATTTTCCACCTTATCCACCCATTAAACCTCACCTTACCCATTAGTAATCTGAATCATGCTCAAGTGCATTTTCTGCCAGATGGTTGATAGTACTTTTCTATACCACCTGTAGGTTTCACCTTATCTACTCCTACTTAACATACTTTGCAATATTCTGTCTTTGAATTTATTATCCTAAGAAGAATAAGATCCAGTTCCCATTTACCAGAAAAATGCGCAAGTGCAGGATATCAAACAGAGCTGGTATAAAGCATTTCTACATACAGATGACACTTAGGTCCAGACTATTTGAAAGATTATCTCCTTATATTAAGGAGGCTAAGTTTTGAGATCTTCAGGGAAGGGCTTTCTCTTGGTCATTACAGACTAATCTAGTGAGGGCATGGGAGAGGACCTTCTCAGTAGCTACTCCCAGGTTACGGAAATCCCTTCCATAGGAGATCCGGAAAGCCCTCTCTGTGTTTTTTTTCCCCCTTCTTCCTGCAGACAAAGACCTTTCTATTCAGGTTTTCTATTTAGGCTGTTTAGATCTATTTATCTTTTATTTTAACCACATGACAGAAGAATGTACAGATTTTATGACATATTTCATCATATATCTTTTCAATTACAGTATATCTTAAATGTATTTTAGACAGTTTTACTATGTGCTTTTTATTAGAACTGTTGTTAGTTCATTTCAAATTTTGTAAAATAAACTTTAATTTTCAATTATTATAAGCCACTTTGAGTCCAAACTTAGAAAAAGGTGGGGTATAAATTGAATGAAAATTAGGAGCAGATTTTACTGACTATATATCTGCTGTCCACTGTATAAGGCATTGCCTCTTTGCATCACTAGATGTCAGCATCTTGAGGTGTGCCATTTCCACAAGACTCAGCTATGTACACACACACACACACACACACACACATTTTGAGATGAGGGAGCCAACACAGAGAGAAATGTCCCTGCTTTCCAATATATCAAGCAAACAAGGAACAAAACCTAGCTTTGTACTGTTTAGAAATTGTCACATTGTCGTATTAGATGGGACTGAAGAAAACCCTATTGTGCATTTATTCAGCTATTAGGTTATCATTGCCAAGAGAAATTGTAACTGATCACATTAAATTACATTTTTTTGTATCTGAATGCACACAAAAAACCTTTGGCATTACAGTTATACAATTCACATCTTAGATGAACAGCAAAAAAGCAGTGGGGGTGGGGGGAGAACAAAGAGATTTATAGCTCTAACCAAGGAAGAGATAATTTTATCCATATAAAGGAGCCCTGGTGGCTCAGTGGTTAAATGCCTGTACTGTAGCCACTCACTCACAAACCACAAGGTTGCCAGTTCAATACCAGCCAGGGCTCAAGCTTGACTCAGGCTTGCATCCTTCTGAGGTTGCTAAAATGAGTACCCAGCTTATTGGGGGCAATTAGCTTACAGTTGTAAACCACTTAGAGACTGCATAGTATGGTATGAAGCAGTATATAAAGTGGCTATTGTTATTGCTATATATTAAATATATTATATATATATATTAAACCACTGGGGGAAATTCATCCCAATGGTGGCTACAGACACAACAATCACCCAGTTTAAAGTCTTGTCTTCACATTTCCCCAGGATATCATGACACCACTAAGGTTGCCAGGTTTGGTTGCCTCAAAATCAATATGGGATCCAAGACTGTCCAGCAAGATCTCAGGGTTCTCCTGAAATTTCAAATCTTGTGGGAACACAAAAAGTCATATAAATCTCACAACAACAGGCAAACAGACCCTTGGCATTGGATACATAAGTGAGAAAATTAAAGAAAAAACATTGTAAAATGCTTGGAGATTATAGGTATTTTTGTTGTTGTTTACTGCCCTCGAGTCAATCTCGACTAATGGCGACCCTATGGATGAGACATCTCCAAGACCCTCTGTCCTCCACTGGTTAATTCCTGCAACTCTATACTCATGACCTCTTTAATAAAGTCCATCCATCTAACATGTGGACTTCCACTCTTCCTACTTCCCTCCACCTTTCCTTGCATTATTGTCTTTTCCAATGAATCCTCTCTTCTCATGATGTGTCCAAAGTATAACAGTCTCAGTTTAGTCATCTTGAGTTCCAGGGAGGCTTCCAGCTTGATCTGCCCTAGGACCCATTTGTTTGTCCTTTTGGCTGTCCATGGGATCCTAAGCACTCTTCTCCAGCACCATATCTCACATGAATTAATTTTCTTCCTATCATCTTTACAATAAAAAAAAATTCTATGTTTGTGAAGTCGAAGGCTTTCATGGCTGGCATCAATAGTTTTTGGTGGGCCTGTTGTTGCTGCTGCTGCTGCTGCTGCTGCTGGCTGCACTCTACCTGGAGGACTCTGGAAGCTGCTCCCTGCCAGAATCAGGGCTCAGGCACTCAGCTGGTTCCTGGCTACATAGCCAGGCATGAACACCTGCCCCTGGGAAAGGGAATATAAGCTGGATGCTGGTCTGAGGGGAGCTAGCACAGAGGGGAGAGAAGAAAAGCTACCCCCACACTCCAGGAAGAGGTACTGCCTGCCTGCTGTTGCTAGCCCATCTGGAGGGTCGCTACAGGCTGTGACCCTGAAACAACTTGCCTGTTAGCAGCTGAACATGTGCTACAAGGAGGGCATGGGAGGGGAAGTAACCCATGGAGCAGCCATCATGACAATAATAGGCAAGGAGAGATATGACATGGAGAGTCAGTCTTCTGGGAGAAGGGAGAGTCACAGGGTGTTAGTTTCTCACAAGCTTTCCCCCGTTTCAAATAATCTGGATAGCCTTGGCAACAGCTGAAAATGCTGCTGGTCAATGCCAGGTTGGTGAATGGGAAAACATTTCTGATCCAGGACTTGATCTTGGATGAGCATGCTGACCTGGTTTGTATTATGGATACCTGGTTGGATGAAGCTGGGGGGGGGGGTATCTCTCTCAGCTCTGTCCATCTGCGTTTTCTGTACAACAGCAGGCGAGGCCTGGGGGGCGGGGAAGAAGTGTTGCAATGGTCTATGTGGATTCCATTTCCCTTACCAGGTGCCTTGTCCCACAGTCTACTAGGTATGAGTGTGTCTATCTAAAGGTGGGGGGCAGAGACAGATTAGGGATTCTATTGATGTACCACTCACCCCACTGCACAACAGTCTCCCTGCCTGAGTTGGCTGAGTTGGTCTCTGCAGTGGTGTTCGAGTCTCCTCAGCTTGTTGTCCTAGGGGACTTCAACATACACACAGA